AAGGAGATTGCGACAGTGGTGGCGTTGGGATCTGGATCATAATGCAGAAACCCATCGTCCACATCACCATCCACATCACCAGCACCAGTATGATCATCATCATCATCATCACCAGCAGCAGCCGCAGAAGCATTACCAGTTGTTGCTTCACTTGAGTGATCAACTTGAACGCAGGTTGAACGAAGCGTGTCAAGGAATGTCATGCCCATATTTTCAGCCGTCGTGGGCACTGGCCCCGCATTCATCTTGGCTTTGGTAGGTTTGGCGGAGACCTTATTTTGTTTGCCTTTGACTGGAGTGACAACAATTGGGGCATTTTTTCTGTTAGTTGAGCAAGCAACAGCATCCTCCCTGGTAGAATTCATACTTTTTGATGCAGCTAGGCGCTGCTTCTTGGCGGTGGCGGCAGTGGATGCCAATTCAGGAGGTTTTTTTTTTGGCGTCATGTTGCTTTTTGCTCTGCTACTGAGATTTCTGTTCCGCCCAAATGTTTGATTTGTGAGAACGTTTGGAAATCGAAGAACCAGAAATTGCACCAACCGGGACTTTCAAATTTTGGATGGATCAAAATTTGATGTTGCATATAATAGCAAAAGCAGTTGGAGTAAACCAGAATGCGCAACTGTCTAAGTAGAAAGAGTTGGCTTGCTGTGTAGGTGCAGTGAAAATTTCTAACTCCCCGCGTGTAGAGTTTGCAGGAATAGCTTTGCGAGGACACATAGAGATTGACATTCGGTTGGAAGTGAAGTGATGTACAATGTGAGGTATCTTTGCTCCATAGTGGCCGTTTTGGGAGACCTAACTGCAATGTTTGAACATATTACTGTTTGGATACAGAGCATTGCCGAAGGCCTTCTGTTGGAAGAAACATTTTCACTGAAAACAAGTAGTCAGTACCGTAAGTAGGATTTAGCAGATGTGGTGCGCACAGAAACTTCAGGGAATCTGTTTTGGAGAAACTGTTTACTTATACGTTTAGAATGCCATCTGTCAAGACCAAGGATGGTTGGTCAGCTTAAATGACAAAAGGCCCAAACAACCACATCAAGCGAAACCACTGAGAATAATGCTGTAAAGGAACTTCCTTTTGCCATCACACATCACTACCATGACTGCAACGAGGCACCAACAAAATGCAAGAAGAAAGAAAGCAAGAGGTTCCAGGACATCTGAATACAATAGGATGAGCCGTACACAGACAAATACAAGCTCGCGCCAAGTTCATAGAGCTTTGAGACGACGACGCCAAGAAGAAGAAGGAAAAGAAGATGATGAGGCATTGCCAATTGGATTTATGAGATTAGGGTTTGACGAGTTAAGAAGGCTGGAAAGAGAATGGAAGGCCAATCCCAAATGCTGCAAGTCAAGCACCGTTCTTCAGCATGCCATCATATTGTACTACTCAAACAGCGGCTATACAAGATTTGACGAGCATTATTGTTATTCTGCATCGCATTCCGGGCTGGCAATCAACACAAACAAAATTGCAAAAGAAGTGGAAGACAAAATCTTATCGGACAAGGAACTGAAAGAAATAGTGAAATCATATTACAAGGCTTACAACTTCCAGAGTCGGTTGCTTGCTTGTGGAGCGTGCGGAATTAGGCAGTATGAATCCGAGAACAGCAGTGCGTCCATCCAATATACAAAAGTGTTGTTGTCTTCGTTACCAGAAATCTACAAATATACGCCAACTCAATTAAGTAATTTGAACCAACTAAAGCAGGCAGGTGCATTGGAAATTCCTGACAAGACTGGTACTGGAACAATATCTGTTGACCCATGGAAAGTTGTGTCACATTATAAATCTGAACCGCAGGATTGTACATACCATTTGCACCCAGAACTTGTATCAGCGCATGTACTAGGAGAAGAGACAAGAGAACATACTCATTTTTGTCCACGATGCAGCAAGGCTTTGCAAAAAAAGTACATGCTACAAGTACTCAATTGCAAACGGAATAGATTTTGGCCACTACAACAGGCTTGAAGGTTTGACAGCATTGAACTTACATGAGCAGTTAATTGTATCAAAAAATAGGTTATATTCTGCAACGATTAAAGTATTCCCAAATGGAGAAGGCTTTCAACGAACACCTGGTAGGAACTCCATTAGAGGGAACCAAATTCTTTTCTCTCATGATTCTGTTGAAAAGGTGAATCATGTTTTGGCTTCTAAGGAGGAACTTGATGATATTATGAATGTTCACTTCTACAACGAGAAAGGCAGAGATGATGCGTTGGCTCGGAAAGCTTACGGGACATCCAAACTATACGATAGTAGCAGCGTACTGCAACAATGGTTTGCAGTCCTTGGCCGGTTGAGTCCATACTATAGCCATATCAGACAGGATACGATTGATAACTTGGTTGAAAAAGTTGAGCAGAGTGTCAGGGAGAAGAAGGACAATGCAATATTCATCAGTGACAAGCAGAGTCTTCTGCATGAAAAAGGTCTTGGCTCTGATGTTGCTGGTGTTCATCAGGTGGATTCCATGTCGGATAATTACCATGATTACTTCGGAGGAGCATCGACATCACATATTGAAAGCACCAGCTATTCAAGTAGCAATGATCTCCCTCTTAGGACGCATTATGTCAGTCCATCACCAGATACCCTGCTACGAACAAAGAAAATACGCAATCAAGTTGAGAATGATGCTATTCAAAACATGATGAAAGGTGTTGATGAAAGCGGGATTGTGAGCCAGCATCAAATGGAGTCAGATGATGCTGTACGCGGATGGTTTGGAGAACAGGAATCAGAAGGAGGAGACAGGCATAACAACTCTTTTGTCATATCGCATCGACGCCAAGACCCAATCAATGAGTTCTTGCCAGATGACGAGATGCTGGCATGTACCTTTCGATGGCTGTTTCCCATAGGGAAAGCTTATGGAAGACGTGCTGGTAACCTCAATGGCGAGGAGTTGAACCATTTACTGAAACAATTTAGTATGATTCATGGTCAGGACAGACGAATGTTGGGATACCTAGCTGATGTCAAAAGACGATTTGCAGTCATAAAAAGTGCAAGCCTCAAACTGAGCGGCAACAGCGATGCAATATCAAGAGTGAATGAATTCATGGATAGGAACGACCATCAAGAAATCTTGAAAACGTTGCAAGATGATCCTGATAGTCCGTCAGCGAAGAAAGTATGGAAACGGCTGAAATCGACATTGACTTTAGTTGGAGGGGACATTGCTTATGGAGCTTTGGAAACAAGTAAATGCATCAGTCAGACACTTGAAACTGCAAAGCGATATGGTGCTGGATGCACATTCTTGACGCTATCACTTGACGACATGTTTAATACATGGGGTTTTAGAGCTGCAATTAAAACAGTGGACAATACAAAATTTCCTGCGGTTTTTGGTTCTGAAAGTGAGTATGCCTCCCTTGATGATTTCGTCAAAGCCATCAAAGAACATGCAGTTGACAGAGGGCAAGGCACCATCAACTTCAATGAAGGCGAGGGGATGCAATTTGAGCAAGCATACCTATCAAAACTAGCAGCCGAGAACCCCGCTGCATATGTCTGTGAAACAAAAGCAATTCTTCATCATGTCCTTTCAATTCTCGTTGGTTGTCCACCAGAAGGATTTTTTGGCGCCTACGATGGGCGGTCAACACGAAAGAGTCATTATTGGAATACTAAAAATCGCAAAGGTATATTTGGTCATGGTCTTGGCTTAGCTGGAGTGGTGGAAGATCACATGAAGGGAACACTGCATTTTCACATCATCGTCTATGGATCAATTACGTCATATGTGCTCCAAGAACTATGTCAAGTGTCTGCAATCTGCAAAAAGGTAGTAGAGGCCTTGGACTCTTTTTACAAGGCAAAGTTCAGTACCGGAACAAATTTCCGGAATGTCTTGACTAGAACATTGAGAAAATCTACTGCGTTGAGACAGTTGGCAGAACCAATGAGTTCACCAGCTCTTTTGCAGCGAACCAACCCTATTGCAACCATGGATGATCTATCATCAAATGGCTCAACCATGCAAAAGATGGAAAACATATCTTGTGACGAGAGAGCAAATAGTGAATACCATGTGCATCACAGAACTTGTCATAGAGGATTTCATGGTAGAGAAAGATGCAGACTTGCCAAGAAATCAGGTGTTTCCAATGGAACTCATTGTGTTTTGCTGATACCGACAAAACAGAATCAACCTGAAAACAGCAATACAACTGTTTCACCACCAGAAGGAGCAGCTACTGTACTAATGGATGCTGTTCCTATTTCTCAAAACGCAAATCCTGGAAAAAATCATGCTGGGTATGAAATTGGAGTACTGCAGCCTGTTCTTATTCAAACCTATCATCTTAAGAGCCCTTTGGATTGTGGCAAAGAGGAACCCATTGTTGTGTGGAAGTTGGATAGACCTATTCCCAAATTAGCAGCACAATTTGGTTTTGACAGTACATCTGCTGATCTAAGTCATGTCCTATCTCTTCCCACTGATGGATCAGAACAGTCCACTAGGATTCTAATTGTCAATAACATTTGTAAGCTTTTGAAGCACCATGATCATGATTCATTAGGAGGCTGTTATGGCAATGGACATCAAATTTGGGCCTTCATTAACATTGGGAAAATTGAAGCTGTTAAAGAATTGTACTCCCAGTGTACTGATGCTTTGCAGACAGCAAATCAATATGTCGTTGACCATAACATTCCACTCTTTTACTGCACAGGATCCCACAACAATGCAGTTCTGCTAGGTGGGGTACAACAATCAAAATCAGCTATGTTCTACATTGCTCCATATATGGCAAAGGAAAAAGTCAGTCTCTCTGCCTCTCTCACAATACTAGAACATGCAAGAAAATTGGTCCAGGAACACAAAAGCACAGCTGAGGACAGGGACACAAAACCACAAGAAAGGCTAGCTAAGCATTTTCTTTCCAAGGTGACAAATAAGCTCAACGCCTACACCGAGTTGTCAGACTATCAAACGGTTGCGTATTTACTTCAAATTCCATCCATAATCACTTCAGAAGTGTTTCAATACAGTGAACCTTGGGGTGCAATCAATTATCGAAATATCCTGATACCAAAAAAAATGGAGCAAGCAAATACTGGAATTGAAAGCGATGGCAACAATGCTAAAAATGACAACAAGTCTGAGGATAATGCTTATTTGGGATACATAAAGACATTTATCGTAGAAAAAGGAGAAGATGGTGAAGATAATATCAAAATGGCTGTTCCAGTTGTGGCAATGTACTTTCACAGGGGTAAAGATTTGGAGCACCTTAACTTATATGAGTATGATGCGTTTATTCAGGTGAAGGAACTTCCCAAGAAAGAAAGCAGCAGCGCAAAGTCAACATGGTTTAAGTTTGAAGGAGCTTTTGAACTGAGAGCAAGATTTGGACAGACCCTGTGCCGCAAGCAGCGTACACTAATCTTCAAAGGAAAAGTGCCCAAACACCCAGGAAAAGAGCCACAGTTAAATCATCCAACACATTCTAGCTGGCAAACAAGAGCTGATCAACATGCCAACTACATACTGACTATGTTTCGACCATGTGAGATATATAACGGATCGGAAACAAAAAAAGCGCTATCACAGAGTTATGGCTGGGGTGATCTAGTGGCGTGGATAAATACATCACAGCACAATGACAGCACTGTTTCAAAATTTCGCTTAATGGCTGTGGATAGAAGGATGAATACTCTGGCTTCAGATTTTCAAACAAAAAAGATATTGTCAGCCTATCGTGCAAGAGACGCTTACAAGTGGTCGTCGTACGAGCAGGAAAGGCACAGGAGAACAGATCAGCTTTTAAAATTTTACGAATGTCAAGAGGATTCTCTTCTACTTGATGAGGATTTCTTCCAGGCAAAGTACAATATACTAGACTCCAGATCAACAACAACTGCATTGAACATGAACGCAGATGCTGAATCATTCTCACAATCTGTAAGCACCTTTACATTTCCGCATACACCTGACAGAACCATCCAAAAGTATGACGCTGTTGGAGCAATGACAATTCAATGGAAACAAAGGGCGTCTCTATTATACAACAAGCAAGATGACAAAAGTTCTCTGTGGGATGATGACGGCAACATTTCACTTGGAGAAAACAAAGTACAGACTGGTGAACTGTCGCCATGGCGTTGTGTCAACAATGCCAATGCTATGCCACTGAATAACGGTCAGGCATAGATCATTGAGACCTACAGAAAATATTTGCAATACCCTGAGGATCAAAGTGTGGTTCAGCCGCCTGCTGTTGTGCTTCTAACAGGTAAAGGCGGGACAGGAAAAAGCTTTGTGATTCACCGCCTACTTATGCTTGGTAACACCACAAAACAAACTTCAAGAGTTTGGACTATGGCATCGAACAATTTGAACGCCGCTGACATCAATGGTTCTACAATCGCAAGTTTGCTGAAACAAAGAATTCAAAAGAGGCAAAAAGACGAATCGCAGATAGTGCAACAAAAGATTAGCCCAGCAGCTGTCATCGGATTGGAAAAACAAAATGTGCAGGATCTACGACTAATAATAATCAATGAGGTGTCCAATGTGACAGCTTCAAAATTGGGCAAACTCTCCAGGCTGTTTAGTGAAGTGCTACAAAGTCCGGATCAGTTTTTTGGAGGTATACTGGTCCTTTTAGTAGGGGATTTTAATCAAAAGGAACCAGTTGGTGGCATACTGGCAACAACAAGTCTGATAAAGAAGGTGAAGAACGAAATTGGGCATTCCAAAGATACAACAAATTCAGAGCACAGAATGAAGAAGAAACAAAAATTGTCAATTGAGACCACAACGCCTTCTCTCCTTGATGCGAATTGCCATAATGTTGTTTCCGACAATAACTTGGGATGCAACATACTTGCAGCTTCTCGCTGGTTTGAACTCACTGAAGCTGAAAGAAGCAAAGACACAAACCACAACAACAACATTGACAGCTTTTACAATGGCAATCCAATCTAGCCCGACAAATTCCACATGTACAAACTTTACAATGACGAAACCCTAAAAAGCAGATACTTTTGATGAGCAGCAAATGTGGTTAAAAGCTCCAGTCATAGTGAAGACTAACAGGGAGCGTTGTACCATCAACTACTCCAGAGCAGTTCAATTTGCCAAGGCAAGAAACATTGTTTTAGTGCGCTGGCCTTCCCAATACAAAAAGTGGGAGGGTAAGCCCGAAAATGAATCAGATGTTGCTGAAATGATCGATCACGATTCTGCTTTTTGGGATTTTTTTGTTCCTGAGGGGCCATGTTACTTAACCGATACAATTTCAAAGGAAAGAAAACTTTGCAATGGAACAAGAGCAGAATATCAATCCCTTATTCTTGATGACGTACAATTGTCAGTTTACCAGCACCAAGTACAGAACAAAGACCAAACCGTGATAACTTTGAGTGATCCGCCCCTTGGAATTAACATCAAAATAAATGATAGCGGAATCATTGGGGCAACAAACTGGGAGTCCTTTGAAACCTATCCAGAAGGAAACAGAAAAGGAGCAGAAGTTGTAGTGCCCATTCGTCCGGGATGTTGTAACAGCAGAGACCGTCAAATGTTCAACAAGTCACCTAATCTATTGTTGGGCCCATCACGAGTTACCACAAACAAAGCAAAATCAAGCTTTACCATCTATTGCGGACCACAAGAAACAGCTGTTGCAAAAATTACAGTTGCTTACGTGGCCTACTATCTTGGAAGTGGGTTTGTTGCGAAGTGCCTTGCATTTGGAAAAAGATGTGCAGACAGCAATCTGAATCAGCCTTCATTTATTGTGCCACTTGGAGACAGCAATTTTGACACTGCTCCAGACTCTTGCCTATGTAAATTGGACAAGAATGGTGCAAGGGTCAAGATTTTACGGTTTGTTCAAGGCGCTAGTAATTGTTGCTTGGGGTTTTTGCTTGCAAATGCTTTGCATCATCTGAACTTTCATGAAGAGGCAGATTCTCTTTATCGATGGTCCCATGAGTTGAGCAAGCACAATGCCACTGTCCAATTCAAAAAGCTTTCCCGTTGGGTGCAGACGTTGGTTAAAGGAGTGACCTGTTTGTCTTTTTTAGAGTCAAGGAAATTTGACAGGCTGGATGGATTGTTGCAATGCATCAGTCTTCTTAGAGAACAAGACCTTGTCGTGTTTGTACCACAGGCAAACGATGGGACAAAGACCCATGCTGTTACATTCTGTTGTGGATTAATATTTGATTCCACACAACAGTATCCATTGAGGCTGTCTGAAGAGTCCCTTAAATTTATTGCTGGTTTTGCTGGCATTTGGCGTGCACGGCTGTTTCGCTTTGGCAAGTAGAAGCAAACGTAGGAGAACAGCTATCTATATGTACTGGTGAGTTATGTAGTACTACTATTTTTGTTGTTGTTGTGCAAATTGCAGAAATGATTTGGTTTGGTTCCAAACGTCCTTTTTCCAGTTCAAGCGATTTGTAGTAAAGCCACTGAAGAAGGCCTTTATGCTTTTGGCTGGTTTCAACTCTGTTACGTATGTGAGCATTTCCCACTGGAACCGTTTGCTTGATCGATTGTGCAGTAATAGACGCAAGTGCCCTGACTCTTTTACTCTGCTGTTCCCCACATATATGCATGCATAAGTAAAGTTTGAAAGCTTGTGCAGCCGCTCTGAGATTGCAATGATTACTCGATCTAGAGTCTGGCCCTGTGCTTTATCAATGGTGAGCGCAAAACCAGCTGTAACCGGAAATGTAGGTTTGAAAGTAATGGGCTCATATCGGATCTTTTGAATTTCGTCATGGCTATATTGATTTTGCTTTGGTGCTTTGATTTTGTACTTTGACACAAACTCCAGGGTGCCTTGATCAACATTGCGATACTGTTTGTTTAGCTCTTTCTGGTAATCTTGTGTAGCCTTGTTGACACGAGAAATAATTTTTGAATTGTTCTCGTTTGGTTTCTTGGCTTGTAACAGTAGCTCTGACTGCATCAGACGCTCTTCAAAAATTTCCATATGTTGATTAGGCTGTTCACCGTCACAAATGGCGTTGAGCTCTTCATTCTTGATTTGCTGCTTTTGTTCTGCAGAGAGTCCAATGTTGTTCACTCTCTTCCTCTTGTTCTCCTTAGGTTTCCAAAAATGATGCAAATCTTCAGCAAGACGAACTTTCTTACTTGTATTCTTAGCTTTCTTGTCTTTGAAAAAGTCAATTGCTGCTCCCTTCCCTGACTTTTTGATTGCTTTTATTCTATGCAAAATCTTGCCAAGCCCCTCAACACCTTTCTTGCCCCCAACTGCTTTCAACTCTTTGTTTCCTGTCCAGTATATCCAATCAAGCTCTTCACCGAGGATCTGAATGTCAAAGTCCACATGGTGCTTGTCAAATGATTCTGCGTTCTCTTGTATTCCTTGATAATACGAAACTGCTGCATCACCCTCTGTATACTCTTCATCTTCTCCAACCAATTTGGCCGGTAAATCAAGAATGGTGGTGTTAGTAGCCAAACTTGGATCACAATTGAGCATGGGGTAGTCTTCCGCATTTGATACAGGGATCAACAGATCTTTGGCGCATTTGTTCTTGTAATCCTCAGGAAACATTACAAACAAAGCTTTGTTTACTTTGGATACAAAGTTTCCTTGCCCAGATAGCAGCTCTTGATATTTGCCATAGTTTAAAGACAAAGGCAGTCCAGAATATGTTTTACCGAGACTGAACTCTGCTGATAAAAAGTCGTTCCAGCACTTTGCCACAACCACCGCCAAGTCATCTTCTTCTTGTGATGATACAGGTACTTTTGCTGCTGTAGGTGTTGTAGAGACCTTTCCTTTTTTACTAACATCTGACGTTGCCAATAGTATATCCTTATCTGGTGATTTTGCTGCTGTAAGAACAATGTTTGAAGAGATTCTTGTAATGGATTTTTGTCTGGCTACTATTCTGCCATATTAGTCAACTTACCAGCATCCCCAAGATGTTCTTGACATTGGGACGGTCGAATATCACTTTCATTTACTTCAGCTTGTTTCCTTTTTGTTACATGGACATCCCTCCCAGCATCAGATTTCCCACCTGAAGACGATCCTGCCATTTTTGAACTTCACCGCAGCAAGACTCCAACCTAGCATAAGGCGAAGAATTGGTACTTCACGGTCCAGCTTTCGTAGCTACACAATGTTTGTCACTTTGCTCGATGAAAGTATGAGAAGCAGATGTGTAAAAAGCCGAACTGTGCGGAAGTGAATGGAAGAACCAGTCC